CAGCCTTCTGGTTAGCAGTCAAGTGCCTTAGGTACTGTGCTACCAGTGCTTTGTTCTTTAGTAGTGCTTTGATTTTCTAAGATCTCTTTCTTTTCGAGGAGTGGCTGGTGGGTTTGAACCGCCAGCCTTCTGGTTAGCAGTCAAGTGCCTTAGGCACTATGCTACCAGAGCTCCTCTGAAAGAGATTAAGAAGACTTAAATAAATGGAAGCATGCTTCGTGTTCATGGATCAGAAAACTTAATATTGTTAAGGTATTGATACTACACCAAGTGGTCTATAGATTCAACACAATCCCAATCAAAATTCCAACAGCCTTATTTACATAAATAGACAAACCAATCCTCAACTTTATATAGAATGGCAATAGGCCCCAAATAGCTAAAACAATGTTGAAAGAGAAGAACAAAATAGGAAGACTCATACTTCCTGATTTTAAAACATACAACTACAGTAATCAAAAGGAGCTCTGGTAGCATAGTTCCTAAGGCACTTGACTGCTAATCAGGAGACTGGAGGTTCAAACCCACCAGCCTCGGAAGGAAGGTTGGGCAATCTACTTCCGTAGTAATGCTGCCTCGGAAACCCAAGGAGGGGTTGCTGTGAGTCGGGTCTGACTTGACAGCACATAACAACAACAACAATATATCCATATATATAAGCTTTACTGGTTTTATTTCTCTAGAGAACCCAATCTAACACATTTGGGGACTTACTTTGTTTTATTCCTTGTGGTTTTGATTTGTGTGTCACAAATGACTAAGGATGTTGACCATCTCTTCATGTGCTTATTGACCATTTGTCTGTCTTCTTTCAAGAACGATATACTCAGATCCTTTGCCCATTTTTAAATTTATTTTTTTTAAGTCATAACCAGAAGACTGGTGGTTCAAACCCACCAGCCACTCCTCGGAAGGAAGGTTGGGCAATCTACTTCCGTAGTGATACTGCCTCAGAAACCCAGAAAGGGGTGACTATGCATCAGGTCTGACTCAACAGCACATAACAACAAGAGTTATTTACACTTTGGCTATAAGACTTATCACAGATATTGTGATAGTTGGAGCTGTGTGTCAACTTGGCTGGACCCCAGTTCTGTGTGGTTGTTCCCATGATGGGATTAGATGACTGTGTTCTGAGTGGCCAATTAGTCAACTTCTTCAGATCTTGGCTAACCCAGGCTGCCTCAGGAAGCATTTCACTACACTTTAGGCTAGGTTAGGCATCTCTGTTACGTGTCCGTCATAGCATAATACCATGTACCTCTCTCTTACAGTACTCATATATTTGAAACTACATTTGTTTGTATGGTTATGTGATTGCTCTCCCTCAACAGTGTATAAATTCTGAGGTCAGAGACTGAGTCTGTCTCCTTCACTGGTATATTCCTGGCACCTGGCACCATAATATGGGGCATATAGTAGCTTAATAAGGATAGACGTATGTAAGCTATGAATGAATTAATCCAAGAAAGAGTGGACAGGCTTTGTGCAGGATAGTGTAATACTGACTCCTCCTCCAATGAAGAAATACAACTCAGAACTTATTGCACACTAATATGATACCGCGTAGGCACTGACCTCTCTCAGCCATCCTTTTTTTAAAGTTGTAATTTGGGTGAAAGTTTTCAGAGCAAATTCATTTCCCATACAACAGTTAATATATATTTTGTTTCATGACATTGATGCAATCCCCATAATGCAATAGCTCTCTTCCCAGTTCCTCTTTGTGGTTACCTTTTCCCTATGTCCTTCTTTCCTGTGCAGTCCTGCCCTCTGAGCTATCTCTGTGTTCAAATCTGCCCTTCTGATCTCCCATGATTGATCGTTCTAAAGAGTTTACCTACCTGGTGTATATGTTCACCTCATACGCCTATTGTTTGGCTGGAAGCCACAGTAGTGACTTCAATCCTGGGCCAGAAAGGTGACTAGGTTCTAGTTTCAGGGGTTTCACCAGTCTCTATCAGGCCACTAAGCCTGTTACTTTTTATGATTTTGAGTTTTGTTCCACATTTTTTTTCCCACTCTACCCATTATCTCCTATTTTGATCCCTTTTCGAGTAGTTGACCATGGTAGCCAGGCACCATCTAGTTCTTCTGGTCTCAGGGTCATGTAGGCTTAGGTTTGCAGGGTCCACTAGTTCCTTGGACTAATTGTTTCCATGCTCCTTTGCTTTTCTTCATTCTTCTTTGCTCCAGGAGAAGAGAGGATGGTCGTTGCATCTCAGATGGTTGCTTGCAAGCTCTTAAGACCCCAGTCTCTACTAATCAAAGTAGGATGTAGAACAATGTTTTTGTGTGCTATGTTATGACAATTGAGCTTGATGTCCCCCATGGGCCTAGTGACTCACTTCCTCAGCCAGCCATCCTTTTTTACAGGATGTTTAACTGTGTACGCAGAAATGTTAACCCGCTTGAAGTACCCAGTCACTGGCGGGCTCCTTACTATTATTCCCATTTCTCAGATGCTTAACTTGTGGTTAAGAAGATGCTTGCCTGGCTCCCAGCACAAAGACGGGAACAGACCTGCCCAGCAGGCCCTCAAGCACTAAGCCATTGGGAAGCCTCGGGGCTTTTGGGCTTCCGGTTCCAGCCGAGCAGCCTGGGCTTCCTGGACGCGCGCGCCATGTGTGAGCGCGCACGCAGGGCGGGGAGTGCGGGGGCGCGCGCGTGCGCAGGCTCCGCGCGGAGGGACGAGGCAGGGCAGCGGAACCACCGCCAGGTCTGCTCTGGGTCCACGCCGCCCGTCGTGCCGCCCGCCCAGCGTCCGTCGCCGCTGCTGCCATGGGAGTGCAGGTGGAGACCATCTCCCCCGGAGACGGTGAGTAGCCACACTAGGCGGTCCGGAGAGGCTCCCGCCGCCGTTCTCATTCGCTCACTGAGCCCGTGTCTCTGTCTCTTCAGGGCGCACCTTCCCGAAGCGCGGCCAGACCTGCGTGGTGCACTACACGGGTGAGTCGGGCGAGCCTCTGGGGAGGGGGCCCCTTGGCCTGTGTGCGGCCGACCACCGCGGCCGGGGGACCCGGGACGTGGTGGTGATGAGGCCCGCGTGGCCCGAGGCTGAGGCCTGGGCGGTGGCCGCGCTCCGAAGGGAGCAGCCTCAGGCCTGCCGAACCCGGGACAGTCTAAGCGGGGCTTGTGAGCGCTGATTGCCAGCCAAACGTTGTCTCTCGTATCAGAGGCAGTTCTGTGCCTGTGTGCTGCCATATGCCCACTGCACAGACAGGGAAACTGAGACTTGGCGAGGCGAAGTCACTTGCCCAAGGTCATAAGCTCCGGAGTGGGCAGAGCCTTGGCTAGGGATCCTTAGGAAGGATTTGTACTATTTCTGCCCGGGTTGACAACTGTCTCCGCTTCCGGCCCTCCCTTCAGTGGAGATAAGAAGAGCGAGGTAATTCTGAGACTGCTGCTTTCCCCCGGGGGGAGCTCGGGATTCGCCCCTCCGGTACTGATAGAGTAACTCCACTTCCTAATTATTGCATTGGCTCGGCGTGGTCTTGAAGTTAAGCCATTTACAAATACAAACCTCAGTGGCACTGATAGCCCAGCCTGACAAAAAGCTAAACAGGTAGTCTAGCACCCAGCCCTCCTAGGGGTGGACGTTTTATTCACCCCCGTTTTAGAGATAATGAAACTGAGGCTCGGTGAGGGTAATAAATTTAATGTAAACCAAAGGAAATTTTAGAGCCTCAGCCAGAATTCAAGTATCAGAGCCTGGTGCCTTGAGGCTGTCTTTTATTTCATGCCCTTACTAGGTCCTCCTGGGTTGTCAGGAGGAAGGGAGAGGGGGTTGAGCCTCTGAGACTGCTTGGCTGTGGGCTGTGGCTGGAGGTGGGAGAGTGTTTGCCACAGTTGTTACAAATAACCCCTCCTCCTTCCCACCTCTTCTTTCTTTCTCACTTCCTTTTCTTCCTCTCCCTTTAGATGGCAGGGTGGAGGGTAAGTCTCCATGCTGCTCAGGAATAAGCCCTACTAGTCTCTCCGAGGTCATGGGGGGAGCCCGCTGTTGTTATTGAAAAGGAAAAAAAAAACAACTAAACGTCCCCGCCCATGTCTTTTTGGTTCTCTGGTACTTCACCATGAGGGGAGTTCTGATGGTGTATTGCCTAAGGCACTTGACTGCTAACCAGAAGGCTGGTGGTTCAACCCCAGCAGCAGCTCCTGGGAAGGAAGATTGGGCCATCTAGTTCTGTAGTGATACTGCCTCGGAAACCCAAGGAGGGGTTGCTATGAGTCGGAACAGACTCAAAGGCAGTGAGTTTTTTCCTCCGTGGGTAGAAGTAAGGGCAGGGGCGGAAGATGTTAAGGACTGGAACTTGTAAAAAGGCTACCAAAGAAGAAGGAGATATTGAAACCGATCTTAGAACAGCCTCATGCCCGTGAAAGAACTGGAAAGTGGTTTGGACTTTTTAAATAGCTGCCTTTGTAGGCCACACTCACCACCTAGGAGGGCTAGTGAAGGAAAGCTTATCAGTGGTCATTTATGATCTACTGAGTAAGAAGAGTAATCCTTAACCTTTTGAAGGGGTCAAACATCTTCAGCTGAGTGGCAGTTCACTCAGTTTCCACAGCCATTTGGGGTAGACTGGGGCATAGGCATAGTTTCTGGCCCCCGTTTATAAGTGGCCGAGCTAGAATGTGTGCCCCCATCCTTGGCACATCCGTCTTCTGGTGCCCCTGGCAGGACTGGACACCAGCACATAGGCAGACCCACATTTCACTGTGCCTGTTGGTGAGATGTCCTCACACACATCCCGTCTGGAGTCTTGCTAAGAGAGCAGATGGTCGTTGGACCCAGAACACCATCAGGGCTTCCAGTGCCTCTTCTCCAAGTCTGTGTTTTCCTTGCGGGTGGCACCCACCCACACGCTCCCAGAACAGCAGTAGGACCCTAGCATGCATTAGCACAAAAGCTTTCTTTTTATTTCATTTTTGATAAGCTCTACAAAGATGCCTGAGTGAGAAGCCAGCTCTGCCTCACGCTTACAGAATAGATTCTTCTCAGCAGGCAGGCGGCTTTGTTCCCCGGTCTTTGCTACCAGCCTCCCAGGAAGAACCTGTTTGAGACCTGTGGGGGTGTGAGAGGAGTGGGTGGGCACTTTGAGATTTCATCTGTAGCAGTTAAGGCTTTTAAGTCACTGGGAACAGAATCCATCTTGAGGGAACTTGAACGTAAGGGAAGAGATTATCATAATGACCTAGGGGGGTCTCCAAATGCAGGAAGGTTGCTGTACCCCATCGTGCTTTCCATGGTTTCGAGCAGGGCCTTCAAGAAGAGCCTGTGCCACCTCTTTGTGGTGCCAGAAGGGAAATGAAAACTTGTGTGTCACCATCCAAGCATCTCCTAGAAGCCAGGCACTGAGGTGGGAGGGAGGAGGTGGGAAGGTAACCTGCCAAGTAACCGCCTGGAGGATCTAGTGGATTCTCACAGCCTGCAGTATCTTCATCATCTTTCCTGTTGATTTTGTCCTGGCACATAGCTAGGCTTGTGTCCCTTTTATTCCCACGAACAGGCTATGCTCCTACCATTGTGAGAACAACCTCAGGTTGATTAAAGGAATTTGTTTCTCTTTTTATCCTTTTAAAAAATAGATGGACATCTTGTCCTTGTGAGTCATCCATAGCCTCCTGGTTTTTAACTGAGAAAAACCAAAGGTCCCTCAACCCTGTCTCCTAAGTGGCCATTTTCCCTGCAACCCTCCTCTCACCCCTTGCTCTGTTTTGCCCTCTGTCCTCCCCTTCCTCTGCTTTCTTCTGTCCTCTCCCCTGCTGGACGGTTCTTGGTTGGTGATCTGGTGTCTGGAAGAAGGCTCATGGCCAATCAAGATACCTCAGATGGTTGCCCTCAATGTGTGCCGTCTTGAGGCAGACAGACAGTAACTGTTGCACAGGACTTTGATCTACCCTTTTTCCTTCCTACATCAAATGTTTATTGAGCACCAGCAATAAACCAGGCACTGGGGACAGGGCAGTAAGTTAAGCAGGCCAAACCAAACTGAACCCATCACCGTTGAATCGATTCTGACTCCTAACAACCCTATAGGACAGAATAGAATGCCCCAAAGGGTTCTCAAGGCTGTAATCTTTACGGAAGCAGACTGCCATATCTATCTCCAGTGGAGTGGCTGGTGGGTTTAAACTGCCGACCTTTTGATTAGCAACCGAGTGTTTAACTACTGCACCACCAGGGCTCCTTAACTAAGCACACAAAGGTCCTTATCTGAAGGCTCTTACCTTGAGGTGTGGAGACTAATAGCTTGAGTGTGTCTGTGACACAGCAGGTAGTAAGAAGTGAAGTGGAGAGATGAAAGCAAGAATGAGTGGGTGGCTGCTGCTGCTGTCAGGGAGGGTGGTTGGGAAAGTCTCCTGACAAAGTAACATTTTTAACAATAACCCAAAGGAAGTTAAAGAGTGAGCTCTGTGACTCTTGTTGTTGTTGTTGTTATGTGCCGTCGAGTCACCCCTGACTCATAGCGACCCCTCCTTGGGTTTCCGAGGCAGTATCACTACGGAAGCAGGATTGCCCAACCTTCCTTCCGAGGAGTGGCTGGTGGGTTTGAACCGCCAGCCTTCTGGTGAGCAGGCAAGTGTCTTAGCCACTATGCTACCAGAGCTCCAGGGGAAGAGTATTGCAGGAAGTGAGAACAGCTAGTGCAAAGGCCCTGGGGTTGGAGTGTGCTTTGTGTCATAGGGGACCAGCCAAGAAACCAGCGTGGCTGGAGTGAACTGAGTGGGGAGGAAAGTAGTAAGAGATGAGGTGAGGGTGTGGCCTGGTGAGTTGCCCTAAGAACATAGACTTACTCTCTGAGTGAAGTGAGAGCCACTGGGGGGTTATGTGCAGAGGAGGGTCATAAGCTGGTTTAGGTTTGGACAGGAAACCCCCCCCCCCCCGCCTGTGTGAAAAAGAAATTGTTGGGAACAAGAGCAGAAGCAGGACACTGGTTGTACACTGGGTGTGTAAAATGCATCCACTGGGCAGAAAGGCAAAGGTGGTACTGGATGGAATGATCCCCAAAGAGGATGTGTGCCTTTTCTGGACTTACCCTACCTGGGCTCCTTACTGTGTGCCCGATATAATGAGAGCTAGGTAATGGAGCCCATTTCCTGAATTCACATCTTGCCTGTAACTATGTAACTATCTTGCCTGTAGGCTAAGAGAGCTTGGGGGAATTGCCTCACTTTTCTCAGCTTCCATATACCCTCAGTAAAATGGTAGCTACATGCTTGCTTTGAGAAATTGCTGAAGGCTTCAGAGCCGGGGGAGTGTGTTCCAGGAGGGGCAGCAACAGTGATGCTATTAATTCCACCCACTTTTTTCCCAGGTACTAGGTGATGTATTCTCATTCGTCCTTTGATCTCCCAGCGCTCCCTGTAATGTTTGCAGTGGGAGAAAGGCAGAGAGCCCTGGTGTCAGCACTTCACGTCCCTGGAGTGGCGCAGACTCGCATGGCAGGGATGCAGTGTAGCGCTAGTCGCATTGAGTGGGGCTCATCTTTTCCCTGTTACAGATGGGGAGATAGGTGCGCAGAAAGGAGAGACGGGTCTGCTGCTCTTCTCTTAAATTTTGGGAGAAAATTTAAGGTTTTTGTTTGTTTTTGTGGTTATGAGAGGTGGGGATTGGCCCATATCAGCTTGGCTGTGAGCAAAGTAAGCTGTAAGTCCCTTTTCTCTTGCTCAAGTTTAACATGAAGAGATTTTAAAACTTTGAAAATAGACCTTGCTGTGGAGGTATTCCTTTGGGATTTTGTGATTAGCAAAATAAGAGTCAACAAGAAGAACATCCTCCTTTTCCATAGGTAATGGCAGAAGAAGGCTCACTTGTCTTCAATGAACCAAAACCCCATAGTCTTCCTGTGCATGTGGACAGCTCTTCATGATGACATTTTCAGATACAAAGAAAAATCAGAATAGAACAGTGAATACCCTTGTGCCCACCACCTAGATTCAGTGAT